GAACTTTCTAATGTGACGTTCACGCTTTTTACTTGCATGCTGTTCCATTTTTTCGTGACTGGGTTTCATTTATAGGTTTTGTAGATTCTCACTATGAATGTAAACAGCATAAATTTGCACATATAAATGTAGAAATGATACCCAACTATACATGCAATTGCATTTTAGAAAACATTAAAGCGGAGCTTCACCCAAAAGAGGAAGATCTGCTATAAGGCATCTCCCCCCCTCCTTTTTACTTAACTTTTTATTTTGGGGGGGGGGGGTTGTAGAGGAGTGGGTACCTGGTGTTGACAGGTGCCCACTCCTCCCCAACAATAGTGCTGAGTTGCCCCCCTAGTGACCCAAAAAAAACACTAATAATAAACACCCTCCTGAACATCAACCCAATGTGTAAAAGAATAAATCTGTGAAACAAAGTCAATAGTAAATAAACTGGCTGAGCCACTAAATCCAAATGATAAGTGAATCATATATCAAAAATTATCCAAAATCAAGTAGCAATAAACACCTGGCCAGCCTATAATAAACACCGGGATGTGCTGAAGAATAAAGTGTAAAAAACAACAAAAACCATAAAATATGTGAAACATATATCAGAAATAGTATTAAATAATTGTAAAACAAGTGCCCAGCTGAACAATCAGCCCCCCAGTGGAATAAACATGATGAATCAAGTAAATGTTCAACTGGGCTAGATATTCACAAAATGGGCTAGATATTCACAAAATGTGCTTATTAAGAAGAAATATACAAAAAACAGATAAATGATGAATGATAGATCACACTTAATAAAGTACAAAATACAGTCCAAAAGTGATATAACAGCCTCTTTCTTCCAACATTTAAACTAATGCACCAGTGACTTTAACAGGTGCGCAAACCAATCGTGCTCCTCCACCTTCAGGCATGCACGCTCACTGGATCCTCTGCTTACTACACTGTGACGAGTTCCTTGTTCCTTATCTTTTGAGCACCTATCGATCGGGGTGGGGAAGTAAAGGATTGTTCCTGAGATTGCCTGGAGAGACCTGTGGAAGCAGAGGATCCAGTGGGATTAATATTCAGCGCATGTTGACCTATATTTTCTATGGGTCAGCTGTTAAGGTGAGTGTTCATGGGGAGTTTTGTTGATGTGGGAACACATTTAGGTGCTTGCAGCAGCTTATCATTTATTTGTGGCAGCGCGTGAGTATTATATCCTTATATAGGTACCCACTCCTACTTCCGCCCCGACCGCCTAGGCGATCAGAGCAGAAGATTTTCCACCCCTCTTTACCCACAGTCTTCTGGGACACGTCACGCTGTGGAGCTCTCACAGCCGGGTGCCCACAGTTGAGATGCCAGGGACAGTACAACATTGTAAAGAACAGCTTAGATGAGCACATTGCTGGATCCTGGGACAGATAAGTGTCTGTTTAGTAAAAGTCAACCGCTACAGTTTTTGTAGCTGCTGACTTCAAATAAACACCATTTTCGACTGGAGTTCCCATTTAAAGAAGAACAGTGGGACAAAGTACATATAATATTTTGTCCCATGTTGCTAAGCACTTTCTAAGCCTCCCCACCGTGGGAATCCGACAACATAGTTAGGACAGAGACAGCTTTAATGAGTCAATCGGCAACAAGAGGAGTACAGAGGGACAGGAAAATGGCATGTTCTTTCTCCCCTTGCATATCTCTTGTCACTGCTTGTCCTCGGAACATGTAAGGAATATGCTTCCTAGCTATGTTGTTGGACAGTCGGGGGTGAAGGGGGGAATGCCCAGTCTGATCTTAAAGGTAGGGTTAGGAAGCATATAGAAAACATGAGCAAACATTTTAGATAGGTGGTCTCCAAACTGTGGCCCAGGGGCTGGAAGTGGCTCTTGGCTTATCTGGCCCTTGGGGCACTTTTCTTCCCCCTGATAAAAACCACTATTCCCCCCACTGTCACCACCAATGGGGCATAATTTTATCCCACTGAACCTACGATGGGGTACTATTCCTCCAACTAGCACCAACATTAGGGCACTATTCCTCCGACTTACACCAACATTTGGGCACTAGTCCTCTCCCAATGCCACAGACAGAGCATTGTTCACTCCCAGTGATGCTAAGACAATTTTTACTTCCACTGGCAGCAGGCTGGTCCCCCTGAAGTCTGAAAGACCGTAAACTGGCCCTTTATTTAGAAAGTTTGGCGACCCCTGTTCTAGATGTCTTTGTCAAACGGGGGACAAAAGTGAAGAAAATGTTGGCTCTTTCTGGCTATCATATTCCGACACCCGGCATTTACGACTGTCAGAAATCCTGAACAGTGGTTGCTTCTGATTGGGTGCAGCCATTATTTGACTGTCAAATTTTATACATGGTTTCTTCCACAAAAGTCTATTGAAAAAGACACTTTTGTCACACCTGAGTCACGCACAACCTAGAGCTGTGTATAGCAAGTTTTAAATTAAATAAGGCATCTGCATTTCCAGGGATGTGTGTGGTTCTAAAAGCATGCCAACAATTGGCTTGTTCCTATGAAGTATGCTGTATAGAAGTCTGTTAGGGGTTGCCTTCTTTTACTTTTATATTACATACCAGGCCAGTTTTAGTGTGCCATTGTAATTAATGTAATTTAGTGCACATGTATGTCGATGTAAATGGAAATGCATTGTTTTCGTAAATTTGCTTGTGGCCGGTTTTTTTTTTTTTTTTTTTTTTTTTTAATTAGTATATTGAGCATGTCCTGCTCAAACTGATGTACATGGGAATTCTGCAGAGTCTGATAGCTATTGACAGGAATTGAGGAAAAAATCCCAGATGAGTTGCTGACATGAAGAAAATGAACACTTCTCCACTTTAAAAAATGGCTTGAATTATCAGTAATGTAAGTGTTACAGCAATGCACAGTAAAGAGTATTACTCCAGTTAGTGCAAAGCAGTGTCATTCATTCAATCATTCTGAATGGCACCCCAATGCCGAGATTGTAAGCTCGAAAGAGTAGGGCCCTCTAACCCCTCGTGTGCTGTTTGTTGTTTCTGTGCTGTTTCATGTATTGTCCCCCCCGCCTCTATTGTACAGCGCTGAGCAAACCCTTTGGCGCTATATAAATTTGATGTAATATTATAAGAAAAAAAAATAAAGCTGGAATCAGTCATGTAAAATTCACAAACTACTTGTGGTTGGTATACTTACAATTGTTGCCTAACCACGTAAATGACTCACCTAAAGCCAAGTAGCAAGTAGAAATTGGCAGACTTAAAAACTTGCTCTGCATGTTTTGGTGTGATGTCATTATTTATTTATTACAGCGCTTTACACATATATATTGTACATTCACATCAGTCCCTTATCCTCAAGAAGCTTACAATCCAAGGTCCCTAACTCACATTCATACATACACATACTAGGGCCAATTTAGACAGGATTTCAATTAACCTACCAACATGTCTTTTGGAGTGTGGGAGGAAACCCACGCAGACACAGGGAGAACATGCAAGCTCCAGGCAGGTGGTGCTGTTGCTGTCAATGATTGCTACTATCTCTTATGGCAATTCAAAAAGTGATAAAAAGAGAATGATGCATCCAATAGAGTTACAGTTACATGTTTCAGGTACATGTACAGTTTCTCCAAAAACATGGAGAAAGGCAAGGACATACTGTACATTTGCAATACAAAGAAACACATCAATACAAGATACAATAGAAAAGGCAGCCCTATTCATACAAGCTTACTGTCTTGTGCCTATACTTTGTTTCTCTTTAGGCAGTGGGACAAAAAGAAACAAATACTGAGAAAACACTTGCACTAAAGCATGGTACCCAAATCAAATGTCATTTCAGTAGCTAGAGATCTAAAGTGCATTTTGCTGTATGCCGGTTTGCATCATTGTAGTATAAGAGAAAGGTGGGCAAAAACCCAGTGAGGATATCACAAAATTGAGTGGCACTAAAGACATTGGGCTATACTGGATAGCACCGCCATTGGTGGGCTATTAAACAGAAACCAGAACTGACACAACAGTCTTTAAAACATGCAAGAAATAGAAGGAACACCAGACGAAATTATAGGAGTCCAAATTAATTTATTGCTTTACACTAAAAAAACCCCAAAAAACAGGCAACACATTTCAGAGACCAGATGACGCTCCCCCTTCATCAGGGATTCAGTTAAAATAAGAGTCTTGCATGGACACAAAATAGGGAGTTCCTATGTGAATCTGTGTAGGAAAACTAATGGCTTTAGACTAGGAAAGATGCTGGCCAGTGGCATCTGCATGAGCAATCAAAATATAGTCAGCAGCTAATAAAACACCAAATCCTGATGGGTTACTGTTTGAGTAATACAAAGCTCAGACAGCAATGCTTCTCCCCAGTATACTGCAGGCCTTTCAGAGAGGTGGCTAGCTTGAGTCTATGACACAGGCAATGATTGTCCTTTTACTTAAAGTGTTACTAAACCCACACAACAGTAAGATCAGTCTGTATACACAGCAAAGCATGCTTGTTATACTCACTGTGGAGCCGCGAGTATCGTATGGCCATATCACTACTTTTTAAACTGATCCCTAAGCCTTAAAGAGAAATGCAAGAAAAAGTTATCATCTCTCATATATTTAGATGTATCCAACCTAAGACTCTACTCCAACTATTTACACAAACACATTCCTAGAAAAGAGTCAGTCTCTCTCTCTCTCTATATATATCTATATATGTGTGTGTATGTGTGTGTGTGTGTGTTTTATATACACTGTGTGCGCCATTATTAGGCAATTTGTATTTTGGAGCATTCGTTTCATTATTGAACAGCTACAGTGCTCTCGGTCAATCCAAAATGTTAATAAACCTCAAACCTGAATATTTAACCACTTGCCGACCGGCCGTTGTATATAAACGGCCGGACGGTGGCACTGCAGGGTTGGGTGGCCGTCAATAAACGGCCTCCCCGCACCCTGCTTGTGCGCGCTCCCTGGGAGCGCGCAGCACCGCGATCCGGTGCCCGCTGTGTCCTCCGGACACAGTGAAACACCGATCGTCGGACGGGACCTCTGTACGAGGTCCCGATCATGTGATCACTGATTGGCCAATCAGTGATCACATGCAAAGTAGTAAGCAAGATGTCACTTGTGACATCATTGCTTACTACGTGTGAAATCTGTGAATGATCACAGAGGTCACATGGTACAAGGCTATTCACAAAAGCCTTGTACCATGTGACAGGATGTGACCAATCACAGCTCACTCAGTTCTTCTCAATGAGTGCATGAATGCATACAGAGAGAAAGAGAAATGATTGCTTTTACATCCTATATGGGTGTAAAAGCAATCAGTGTAAAAAAAAAAAAAAAAAAATCTTCATCACCCCTCACAAGTAGTACAGTGTCACCATGGTGACACTGTACTGCTAGGGTGACAGTATGTAAAAAATAAAAATAAAAATAAAAAATAATATAAAAAAATAAAATAAAAATGTAAAAAAAAATGTTTAAAAATTATAATTTTTGCTTATAAACTAATTTGGATTTTTTTTTTTTTACTAAAAAGATAACGGAATAAATTTTGGCTAAGATTTATGATGAAATATTATTTATTTGCAAAATTTTATAAAAAAAAACACTTTTTTTTTTTCAAAATTTTTGAACATTTCATTTACATAGCAAAAAAAAATACAAATCCCAGTGGTGAATAAATACCACCAAAATAAAGCTTTATCTATCTCAAAAAAATGGTAAAAAATTCATTTGGGTACAGTGTTGCATGACCGCGCAATTGTCATTCAAAGTGTGATAGCGCTAAAAGCTGAAAATTGCCCTGGTCAGGAAGGGGGTAAAAGTGTCCGGTCTGGAAGTGGTTAAGAAAGTAAAAGTGAGGTTGTGGCTTTCTTAGGAGGTTATCTATGTGTCCACAATTATTGGGCAACTATTAGTGTGCAGACTTTTTATGCAACTAAATGAAAAACCTAGTCAGATTTTCCCATCTCACTTTTTTATATCCATCTATTACAGTGAGAATAATAAACAAACACAAAGTTTGTAAATAAACATTTCTGACATTTTAAAAAAATAAATAAAATCAGTGACCAATATAGGCACCCTTCTTTTCAATAACAGCCATAAGCCTTCCATTCATGGAGTCTGTCAGCTTCTTGATCTGTTGACGATCACCTTTTTGTGCAGCAGCAACCACAGCCTCCCAGACACTGTTCAAATAGGTGTACTGGTTTCCTTCACCGTGAATATCCCATTTAAGAAGGACCCACAAGTTCTCAATAGGGTTTAGGTCAGGTGAGGAAGGGGGCCATGTCATTATTCTTTCATCTTTAAAGCCTTTACTGGCTAGCCACACAGTGGAGTACTTTGATGCGATAGAGCATTGTCCTGCATAAATATCATGGTCTTCTTGAAAGATGCAGAATTTTTCCTGTACCACTGCTTGAAGAAAGTGTCTTATAAAAACTGGCTGTAGGTTTGGGAGTTGATATTGAGTCCATCTTCAACCCGAAAAGGTCCAACCTAGCTCATCTTTAATAATACCAGCCCATACCAGCACCCCATCTCCACCTCCACCTTGCTGGCATCTGAGTCAAAGTGGAGCTCCGTGCCCGGTACTGATCCAGCTATGGCCCATCCATCTTGTTCTGTCAAGAATGGCTATTTTCTCTTTAGACCATAAAACCTTTGAAAAATCTGTCTGCAGATATTTTTTGGCCCAATTTTGACGTTTCAACTTATGTGTCTTGTTCAGCGGTGATTGGGTTTCAGCCTTGGCCTTGTCTCTATGTATTGAACACCTTGTATTTCTGGGCACTGCAGGTAGGTTGCAGTTCTGGAATATGACAGCACTGGAGGATAATGGGTTCCTGGTAGTTTCACATTTGACTCTTCTCAAATCTTTGGCAGTTAATTAGCATCTTTTTTTTTTTTAACACATATCTTGCGACCTTGTTGACTATTTGCAACAAAACATGTGATGGTTCTGTAATCACGTACCAATATCTGAGCACCTTCAAGAGTACTGCATCCCTCTGAAAGACTTTTTACAATTTTTGACTTTTCTGAGTCAGTTAAATCTCTTTTTTGGCCATTTGTGCCTGAGGAAAAGAGGTTGCTTAATAATTATGCACATCTTGATATAGGATGTTGATCTCCTTAGGCCACACCCTCCCTCATTACACAAATTCACATTACCTGATATGCTCCAATAAGCATTCAAGTTTATGCAGCTTGGAGTTGGACAGTATGCATAAAAATGATGATTTGGTCAAAATACTCACTTGCCTAAAAATTGTGCATACATATACACACATACTTGAGTGCACCAGTATGTTGGATATCTCTTTGTGAACTACTGTATATTGATGAGTATTAAAGTATCTTCACAGTTAAAACAGGTTTAATCATATTGATATTCCATAGTTGAGCTTTCAAACCCTCATTTACAGAGGGCACAAAACAATTGTAGATATCATATACATCAAGATAAAGATGTTGACACTCCAACAAAAATCCTGTTTCACAATCACTCACATTAAATGGATACTTAGGTGATCCTTATATTTAAGTTGGTGTCAATGATCATTAATATAGGGAGCTAAAAAGCTTTCACTGATGAGCAAGCAAATTCATTCAATGTAAAAGCTAAAGCAGTTAGTAAAAGGGCTATCCACAGATCCGCAGATTAGGCAGAAATTCATAGATATCAGTATTATAGCTAGGAGGTCAGAACATGCAATTAAACTGGCAATACACTTGTAGATTTTTCAATGAATGTTTGTACGAAAATTCTCAGCGTACTATATAACTTGACAAATGCAGTTTGAAAGTACTTCAAAATTTAATTTGTTTTTAACAATCAATTTTGGAATGAATGGATTTTCCAGAATGAGCTTGGTGTATAGAGCTGTATAATCTCCCATAGGGAGATTATAAATGCGATCAGTGGCGTTTTTTACTCCTAGGTTTTTTTTATCTGTTGTTTTTCTGCATTGACTCCAGTTATATAATGATGAACTGTGCTCATGCCGATCAGTTAGAGATTCTCTTGGGTTCCATGCACACTAGGAGCTGTATTAATGGTTTTTCCGGCTTTTTTGTTTTTGCACAGCCATTTTGCTGGCATTTAGCTGATTGTTAAGAAGTAGGCCAGCAAGCTGCCATCTGTGTCCTTAACAACCGATGACACAGCTGAATGTAAACAAAAGAATTGCCGGAAGTTAAAATTACAGAAAAAAAAACTGTGTGGGGCCTCCCCCCAATTTATACCAGGCCCTTTAAGTCTGGTATAGATTTTAAGGGGAACCCCACCCCAAAATTAAAAAAAAAATGGCATGGGCCCCCTTCTTCCTAAATCCCTACCAGACCCTCAGGTCTTGTATGGATTTTGAGGGGAACTCCACACCAAAATTAAAGAAATGGCATGGTGGTTCCCCCTCAAATCCATACCAGACCCTTTTCTGAGCATGCAGACTGGCAGGCCAGGAAAGGGGGAGGGATAAACGAACAACCCCCCTCTCCACTTCTGGAACTACACCAGGCCACATGCACCAATTTGATGGGGACAAGGGCCTCTTTCCCACTACCCTGGGTGGTGGTTGTGTGGGTCTGCGGGGGGGCTTATCGGAATCGGGAAGCCTTCTTTAACAAAACAAAAACATTGTTCCCCAAAGTAAATCCAGCAATTTACTCAGTCATGATGAACACCGTCTCCAGGGAAAAAAAAAAAAAAGGTCCGCAATTGACTCGACACAGAAGCCAGCATTGGTTGCGCACTTTTAGTTTTTTTTTTTTTTATTATTATTTCCGGGTCAGCAGCGGCAACGTTCATTGTGATTGATGCTGGATTTACTTCAGGGACATTGTTGTTTTTTTTTTTTTTCTTTTCTTTATAAAGGACTTGTCAAAAACTTGTCTTCACTAACTTTCACTTTTCTTGGTGAATGAGTAGGGGTACAATGTACCCTATACTCATTCACATGGGGGATTTGGGGTCTCTTTCAGATTCCAACGAGCCCCTTGCCGTGGGGAAGAGGTCCTTGTCCTCATCAACATGGATACAAGGTGCTTTGGGGGAAGTAGCCTGGTATGGATTAGGGGACGACCCCCACTCTGTTTTTTTTTCCTTAATTTTCTTTTGTTTACACCCCTATGACAGAAAAAACAAAACAAACCGCTGGAACCAATGTTTAAGAGCATTCAGCAGTTTATCTGCTGGCAAATCATTCCCATCATTTTTTTTTTTCTGCTCCTAGAAGCTGAAGCTTGAAAAAAAACTTCCAACCTATCATAGCGTGCATGTACACATAGGATAACAATATTTAGCTTCTAGGAGCAGAAAACAAATGCTCTTAAGTAGCTGCTAGGAGCTGCAGAGCCATACAAAGCAGTGTGCTGGAGCTAACAGGGTAGAGATCTGTATTTTTTACGTACAGACCTCTGCCCCATCAGTGATACTCGGCGATCGCCGAGTGCCGGCCGGGACGAGGTGTTCAACGGCTGAAACCACCAATGGCGTTGCAAGTAGGGCCCCCTGCCCTGCTATAGGGTGGTCGGGAAGCGGTTAAAATTGCATACGCCTGTGGAACGGCGCCAAATGATGTTACCTAAAAATCAGGATTCAGGTTACCAGTTTAAAGTTACACAGTAGGTCTGAGGCTAGAATTATTGCTGTCTCTCTGATGTTCGCCATGAATCCTCACATGTGCCGTGCGATTGCCGTTTACATACGCGTGCAGGACTGATGAGTGCGTTCGTTTTTGTGCACAAGCATGGGGGGATTCGGGAGCTGTAAAAAAAAGTATTTATTTCAATTGTATTTTTTTATTCACTTTTATTGCTGTCACATAGAATGTATCGATCTGAAAACACACCTTTCGGCCGCCGCCGGCCACTGCTCGGTAGTTCTCAGCCTTACCTGAGAAACCATTGATCCCGGCACTGGGCATAGAGATGGGTGAAGTAAAAATGGCCGCCACTCATCTCTATGACCTTGGAGGACCAGAGCAATGTCACTTCCCGTTTCCGGCCATTTTTTTTTTGTAAAGCACTAGATCAATGCTATTTTTTGCTCTAATGCTATACATTGCAGAGGAGAGATGTGGGGTCTTATTGACCCCAAATCTCTCCATAAAGAGGACCTGCCATTAATTATTTCTATCACAAGGGATGCATACATTCCTTGTGATAAGAATAAAAGTGATTACTTTTTTTTTTTAAAG